TTTTTTTTTTTGCTCCATTACTTATGATCGCCACTGTATGTGGAGTTAGAATTCTTATATCGTACATATGATTCCTATCATATTATTTCTAAGCCGAATTCTACGTAGGTCTTTCAATTTATTGAGATTGTTACTGTAAAGAAATGTATTTTCAATGTATTTCTCTATATAAAAACTATATAAAAGATTTATATTTCCTGCACCGTACGTACGTACGGTGCAAGAAATCTAAAAACCACAATCTCCTTAGTGTACATAAATACTTTATTGAAGTCGATTATTTAAGAAATATTTGATTTCAATGTGCTACGTGATTATGCACCGGGCAGACCATCTCTCCAGAGTTAATGTAACGTATAATTGTCCGAAGGACATTACGGGAGAGTCATAGTGACACTGTTGTGTGTGTGTCCGCAAATTAAGGGTTTTGGTTGGTTGATCTGATAAAAACAAACATTTTGGTTTCCATTTACCTAGTTAAAGTAGCACATTTGAAATCAAATATTTCTTAAATAATCTACTTCAATAAAGCATTTTATTGATGCCAAGAATTTAGAAAATAACTTGGTTATACTTGTCTCTATTAGGAGATTGTTGTTTTTAGATTTCTTGCACCGTACGTACGTACGTACGTACGTATAATGATGAAGGAAACCTTAAATATTTACTAAATTACCTAGATTATCAACTTTAATAGGTATGCATGAATAAGTACGTACGTCACATAACAACCTAAATCCAGAAACCATCGGATTTTTAAAGTCATAATGTAGACATTATTGAATGAAATATGAAAACCCTGCAAATCTTATCTAATAAGATTTACGAGTTTTTCAGAAGAGTCCAATGGATAAGCGTTGATTGAAATCCCATTATAATGGTTTAAAAAGTCGACATTAATAATATTTCACTGTTTAGGTAATATAGTCCAATGGATAGTCGTTGATTGAAATCTACCATTAACAACAATGATGCATCTCATTATAACGGTTTAAAAAGTCTACATTAATAATAAAAGTTAAACAATGTCTCAAGATTTATTGTTGTCTACTGCAGTATTTGCGTATTTATTGGACTTGTTTTTCTAGGATATTAGCTTAAAGATATACATCCAAAATACTATCTTAACATTTACAACATGAATGGTCTGAGTGGTTTATTAAAATCTTTAATAATCATTTGTCTTTTGGCGATGATTGGTTATATCTTAATGATTATATACATTGGCGTTGGCAATGTAAATGATTACATACATTCAATTATTTATCAGCCGGAATTTCCAACTTTTAAATGTCATTCGTCCGAATACTCTGATAAATCTTCTCATTCTACCTTCATTGACCAAGTCTCAGGATTTGGTACTATCGCGGGGATCATTTTCAACGTGTCATTTTACGGTGCAATCTCTAAGCTTTCCCTTAAAACAACGTGCATTATAGATGATATTTTAATTCTTACAGTTGCTCTAACACCTGCCTTTTCATGGTTTTTTACTGCAAAAATTGCTTCCACTTTCTCAAACTTGGTTAGTTTATCAATATGCGTATTAACATCTTTTACAGTCTTTTGTTTTATAATAATTTTAGTATGCTCTTTTCACAACTTACCCCTATCATGTAATTTTCCTCAAAAATTACATCAAACACACTATGGTTATATTAGAAATTTTATTGTAATACTGTGTTTTCTTCAATCAATTATAATCATTTTGTTTGATTCATTTCGCATCAAGAATGAAGTCGATCATCAAGTACCGATCGATAAGATTATTAATTTAGAAATTTTCAATGCTATTATAGATATAATTTATTTTTTTTCGGCATTTTATTTATTTTTATCTTATTTTTGTAAACGCAACCTATACACTCGTCTAAACAAAAAACCTCCAAAATTTGTGCCTAAAAAAGCTTTCTTTTTTGTAATTTTCACTTCAATACTGAAATTATTTTTTGAATATGCTTTCTTTTGCACCTCTTCAAGTATTGACACAATTTTTTTCTTTGTCCTTTCAACTGTAATAACCCGTGCAATTTCATCATTCTTTTCTAATGATCAAGATCTTGCGGTTGTAGATATTGAAATTTATGGAAAAAGAATAAAAAAGGAAGGAATAAATGAAAAGAATGAAACGAATGAAACGAATGAAACGAATGAAAAGAATAAAGAGGATGAAGTAACTTTGATAAATAAATTTGTCTTTTTACAACTTTATGAAGAGTCAAAAATTTCAAAGTTTTTAGATAGTCAGAGGATCTATATTGCTGTTGACATAAACAATGAAGATTCAATGAAATATGTAAGAGATATTCGCGATTTTTACCGACAAAGAAAGTTTAAAGCTATCAAAGATGTTTATCATTGCATACATTATACATTTTATTCGGATCAAGAAAATGATCATTTAATTATAGATCAAGATAAAAAAGACAAAAAAGATGAAGAAAAAACTATTTTAGAAGAAATTATTACTAAAAGACTTAACAAACCATTTGCTAAGAAATTTTTAAGTGATAAAATTCTTAAATTTGAAGATAATTCCAATTTTAATAAAGTTAATATTCCGGGAACAAGAACTATAGCTAAATGTCTTACTGACAAGCATTGTAGCACTACGAAGGTTTATGTCAATATCCTTGAGATGGGATTGTTTCAATACTTTACTTATTCACATCGATCACATGAAACCGAAGCAGTCATGTGTCAAGAAAAAATTAAAAAAATAAGAGCTAAAGATGATGAGAAGAATGAAAAGAAAGAAATAATTGTTAATATTTCTGATGATAAAAAAACCATAACTGTTAATGATTTCAAAATAGATATAAAAACCACAAAGGTTGTATGGTTTATAATTCCTGAATTTCCTCTTGTTATTAATCAAAATTCCTGGAAAAAAGTTTTAAAAGAATGCAATGAACTGGAAAAGTTGCTTAATCAAGAATTATTAAATTCAGAATCAGAGAAATATGATGAAATACGAGAATATTTTGAACAAATATCTGTAGATTCGGAATCTACATAGGTTGAATTCAGGCCTTAAAAATTTGTGCAGTTACGGAATTTTATGTGATCATTATTACATTTCCCACAGAAAATAAAAACCTGAGCATGTAATCTTAGCTAAAATTCTTATATATATATATATATATATATATATTTACTATATATTCAACATTCGAATTATGTATATTTTTTTATTCGTATATTTTACATTTTTTATCGACCTTATTAATTAAAAACCCTTTGATCTTTTATAATAATTGAAATCAGATGATTCTTATTAAATTCATTGGATACATGTTAAACAATTGTTGACAAAAATTTAATCAAAAAAATAACATCCGAAAGAAAACTAGTTTACAGAAATTATTTATATAAATTTTTAAAGCATTTAAAAAATGTACTATCGAATAATATTTTTCATTATACAAAGATTTCAAGGTATGTACTGAATTGATCAGTAAAATAATTATTTCTCTAAAATATTTTCTCGACAATTATTTTTCTTGAAAACATTTCATTGACAACCATTTCCCCGATGTAACCATTTTCATATGGTGTGAACCATCTATAGACATCAAAAATGCCACTAAAAATATGATATAATATAGCCGCAGAATTAATCACGAATAAAAATTTTTTAAAGGCATAAAAGACTACTGATACTTTTGTTTAATTATAGATAGCATATTTGAAATTCTAATCATCATTGCCTATATCCACACTACGCCATACTAAAATTTGTTAGGTTTTTTAAAAAATCGCTACTGCTCGACGAATATTTGAAATTTCTCAGAAACAATACTTAGCTTGGTAGATATTATACAGAATTATATAAAACTAAGTATTGTTTTTGCGAAATTCAGAATATTCATTAAAAAGTAGCAATTTGGATGTCTTTAGATGGTTCGTACCATATAGTTTATTATGTAGGCAAATGTCTTTACTTTAGGTCTCCTAAACTTCAACAAAAAATAATCCGAAATGTACAGCTCGGGCATTGGTAAATAAAGTTAAGGATCAACTTCCCAATTCAGTTAATAAAACTTCATTGCGGAAAAGAAATGAAATTGGAGTAGGTAAGATAAAACGGGTTAAATCTTTCACGGCTTTGATGATTTCGAAACTAAGATGAAAAGTCATAATTATGGTTACTGGGGTGTATGTTATACAGTGGCGATCATAAGTAATGGAGCAAAAAAAAAAATTTGGTTAGATCACGTTATTTCGTGCAATTCTGGAC